TTGTTTGGTACTATATACTCAATCTCTAACTTCAAGCAATGCCACACACACACATCATGGATTACTAAGTGACCACTCTACTAACCAAGTTATAAGGGCCAGTAAAATATTTGCTTGGTTACTATATACTCAATCTCTAACTTCAAGCAATGCCACACACACACACACATCATGGATTACTAAGTGACCACTCTACTAACCAAGTTATAAGGGCCAGTAAAATATTTGCTTGGTTACTATATACTCAATCTCTAACTTCAAGCAATGCCACACACACACATCATGGATTACTAAGTGACCACTCTACTAACCAAGTTATAAGGGCCAGTAAAATATTTGCTTGGTTACTATATACTCAATCTCTAACTTCAAGCAATGCCACACACACACATCATAGATTACTAAGTGACCACTCTACTAACCAAGTTATAAGGGCCAGTAAAATACCCTGCCTGGAATAAATGTTGTGTGTGAAAATACAAATGCCCTTGGTTACTGATGTCTTAAGTTCCAAAGAAGCAGTATAATCTAACAGATCTAATATTTTTGACAAAATTCAACTAGATTGCAGATGTTTTTTTTGTATCTTATTAATTTGCCCATTTCAGCTTTTACACCAGAAATTTGTAAAACTGAATTTCAGAAAATTTTCCAACTATTTCCACATTTCTTTTAAACTAAAACTTATTGTGCATATAATATATGGTAATAAATCTAAATGGTTTTCTTTTAAAACCAGTCCAGACCATCTCTTCCCACACATTTTATGAACGGTAATGTATACTTACTAGAAATGTTGCATTTTGATGGTATGTCTTATTTACTCTCTCTGTTAGGCATAAACAAGAACTGTCTCTAGTTTTCATTCATTTTCAGTATCTTTAAACATGATTTTTGAAATAAAATGATCAAGAAGATAAGTCTTGGATTTTTAAGATTTATTTACAGGCAACCTTCAAAATGTTTGGAAATATAAAACTAATCATCACTACATTATGTTTGATACTCAAAACTACAAATCGTTTTTGGTGAAACCTTCAAATTCTGAGTTCAAATCACTATTCTCAAAATAGTTGGTGTATTTTTAAATGAACCTTACAAAATCAAAACAGAACCAGTCTCTTTAGAAACTAAACTAAGTGTCAGTACTTAATCATGAACAGTCAATGTGGCTTTATTTTGTGGTGTATTTTTAAATCAGTCTTATAAAATCAAAACTGCATCTTTATGTATGCACAGGGAAGAAATGTTTCAGAACAAATTATATGTACCCCAATGTAGTAAAGCTGTTGCAGAAGAGGAGATCAATCACTAATGAATTCCAGCTGTAAATGGGTTTCTGACAATGTTCATTTGCAAAGATAGCAAGTACTAATGTGAACTCGCTTAAATTGGCAATTTTATGGATACTAACATTTTGACAATCTTTATCTGCCAGCTACAATTGCAAAGATACCAAGCACTACAGTGAATGAGCAATTAGAGATTATGCAGACACTAAAATTCTTGTTATCAAAGGATTACTTTGACTGTAGTACTGCAAAAGTCTAGGTGCATATCATTTATGGTGATAAAGCAAATTTAACCCTTTTTTTGTGAAGATTACAATGCATATTATATTTGGGAGCATATTATATTCAGAACATTATGGTGTAACATTTGTCTCCCACGTGTCACATCTCAGTTCTTTCTTTCTTTCACTACCAGAGATTGTCAGCTGGGCTGGATGATAAGAGACAAAAGTGTAATATATGAAGTAAAAAATGTTCAGAAGTTATGGTTTAAATGCCAAAACTGGCAGAGCATTATAATCCAACAGATCTATCTTTGTGACAAAAATCATCTATGCTGCAGACTACTGGTTTAAAATCCCAAGTTGACAAATTAAGAATGTAAAAACAACAACAAAAGACAATCTGCAGTCTAGGTGATTTTTATCATAATTATTAGGCCATCTGATGTTTTATTGTGCATTACAATAACTAATATAGAGATTAGAACATTCCAACTGAAATTTTAAGAGAATTACTTGTATAAAGATAAATCCATTTTCTAAGTTATGGCTAGTATAAGTAATTACATCTGTATATCAAAACTACATTATCTTTATAGTATGTATTGGTATCTGCTGAAAACAAAATTTGACTAAATATAACTAAAAACCTGTGTTGAGCTCACCTTCAATGTTTCCAAATTTCTTTTTCAAAATTTGTTTCACAGAGGACACAAAGATTGGAACTATAGTCTGATGATCGTCTACTTCAAGGTGACCAGCCATCTTTTGTTTGTGGAGGAGGTGAAACGATGGTTTGGTTTTAGCAATATCCCAAAGAATCTGATGAGGGGAAAATTTCTCACTGTTCACTGCTGGTTGTTCTGTATGTAGAGCTAATGGTGGACAAGTAAAACTGCTATTGTGAGGCTTGCTGTGGGGCTGAATTAAGTGTAGATGATCCACTGTGAGCATACACACTTTCACATATAAAGGCAAGAATTTATTCAATAACAAAATGTCAGAAAACTGTGATTTCAATGCTTTGTTTCCAAACTGCAGTCCACAAGATACCAACAAGGGTAAGTGAAATGATGAAACCTCTGATGGATGAATTCTTAAAGCTAGTTGAACAGTTTCATTGCCTTCATTTCAAAATACTTTTGTTTCTTACATTAAGTGTTTTACTAATATTTATCACAAGTATATCACAATTTATCACAATAAATAAAGACAATTTTAACTAAAAAATTTATTCATATAGAATTATATGGAAACTATATGTTTGTTTAAAGTATTTTCTCAGATTTTCTTTGTAAAATGTATGATTAATTGAATATTTCTCTTACAAATTCAATTCTACACTAATGTTTTTATATACATAAATTATAAATTCCAAATACAAATACTTTGTGACAGAAAGATAAAATATGTTGCTCCAGAAACCTTCAAAACACTTGTACATATTTTACCTATGTATTTTTTTTTTAGATCAGTTCACAATTTAATGTAGGATGGACAGTTAACTTATAAAATTAGATCCAAAATAGATTCCAACATGACCAAACATTTTTAAATATTAAATTATACAAGAACAATTTAATAATTAACTACAAACATATTCCTTTAACCCTTTCACTGCAGCTGGAACGTATATTTCCCAGTACATTAGTTGCACTGGGAAACATGCATTCCAACCACAGTGAATGGGGTTAACTATGAAATGTAAAGCTTTTACCCTAACTGTTTTAAATTGCTAAGTAATACTAACTACATTTAGGATATGGTAAGTAATATTATGTTTAAAAGTAATGATATTTCTTTACAATTTATAATAAATACAATACTAATACCATACAAGTACAATACAATAGAAATAATTAAACCAACAGCTTTCAGCTCATCTGGATTAATAATAATAATTATTTAATATTAAATCAAATATATTTAATCACATTTAAATTAAAACTTAATTCAGTGCAGAATTTTGATATGGGTTAATAGCATTAATTACTCGGTATATCCATGTTGATAACAATAATTATTTCCCTTCCATTACTTTAACCATTTCTGGACAAGAGAAGTGCCACTGATATCCCTTGATTTTTTCCTTTTCACAGAGAAAATACTTAACCAAATTGTATGAAAAGTAGAATAAACTAACTGGATAGTGTCTACTTTTAATTTTTTTAAAATTGGGTCTAGAGTAGTTATTTTAGACTATTTTAGTTAATTTAGTTGGGATTGGACAATATTATTATGTTTTATTTCTACAGATATAGTTAAGTGTAAAGTTAAGATATTAGGCTTAATACTAGATTGTTGGGCATTTTTTTCCTTTACGTTTTAGGTAAGTACTAATACTAGTAATAGGTTATATGATAATAAAGCTATTAAATATTAGATTAAAATAAAGAATTTTCACTAGTATAAGCTAAACATGAAGGAGAATTTATCTTAAAAGATTAAATTACTATTTGATAATTGTTGATTTGCTAAATTGTTTAAACTAGCAGTTAGTTACATGTAACTAGAAATGTGTTTTACATCATAGCTATAGTAATGATGTTAATAATCAATGGTATAAACATTGGTTAACAGAGGATTTAGTTTTACATTTATCTATAGTTTAATACTATATAATCTACAGCTTAAGTGTAATGTGACTTTAGCTATAAGTACAACTTAGACTTATTCAGTTATCGTTAGGTTATAAAATAGGTTAAATAAATTATATTATTACATAAATATAATCTAAAGATTAGTTGTTTGTCACTTCTTATTTTTACTTTAGTGAGAAGATAAAGTAGCAACTAAATAGGTAATACATTTAACTCTAGAATTAGGCTTAACAGTGTTGTCAATATGTTCCTTGTATTTAGTGTTGATTACTTATTACCAGGCTACAATGGTTAAAAGTAGTGCAAGTGCTTATTAGATGCAGTAGGTGAAAGAATGAGTTTTATATAGGAATTTGGGGCTGACATGCACATATAAAGAAACTAGTAGTGAGGGCGTACAATTTATATGTAGTGTTTGTAGGTTGGAGGTGAAAGTGAAGGCTGTGTTGCGTCAGCGAGTCACGTGACTACTATGACGCAACG